TKSWKCMRYCRWYGMYGTYGTCTTTTTTCAATGTATACACGTACTMAAGAARTAAATATTTCCAGTAACTTGAAAGSCGTCGCTCCTCGAGAGCGTGAAATAAAGATACYGGTTCTCCCAAATTATACTACAGCCTGGACGATAATCACCTGCATAAGGGACTCATTAATTTGAAGGTGACAATAGCAACTAATGTMGCCTATCTCGATATCAACTGATTCGAYAGACATATGCCGATTGCTTAAGCCATTCYAATCTTGATCAGTATATGTCTGTTGCAATTATCAGGTTAAAAATACGGCGAATACGAAACACTATAGTCTGTTCTTATTGTAATATTTGATAGTGTTCCAAGTAGAATGTTTACACAATGCTAGCCAAATACTCGAGATAAAAAGGGAAAATGATATTTTTAGTAACGAGTCCGAACACCAGACAATTGAGAAATAATTGAAAAAAAAACGTAATGATTTAAAAATGATTTAAAAGACTTTTAGTTCTTCTGAATTGTAATAACATGTATCGAGATCTGTATTTTTTTTTCTTATGTTCCAAGTATCCGGTCAACCCGCATCTGCTCTAGGACCCCTGCCAGTAAATTTAGCAAGCAGAGCATGCGTTATTGCGTCATTTAACTAGAAAAACATCAGGCCGAGACCGGCGTCCGCGTTTATAGTTAAAGTGCTTCTACACTAGGAAAGGGATTACTTTTGTTACTGAATTCATTAATCAAATCTGCGTTCTGCAGAAAGTGAATGGATTCGTAAAGAAATGTTTAGAAATTCAAATGCATAAGGATATGTGCAAAATGAGGGATCGTTCTCTGCGGTCATTTGCATCTGTTTCTCAGAAARAAGTCTTGTTATTATCGRCATYTGTCAAGATTAMGATCCAAAGTAAATAAAATTACAGGAAACCTTTATGTAATCATTCAGTCCCTTAGCGTTCACCGACTAACATGTCTTTTTAATTTGTCAGGAGACAGTTCTTTTACAAAGTTTGCTYCCCAACTTTAATTAAACGGAGTTTTTTTGTCCAATTTCACTATTCCGAATTCAATGAAAGGGATTATGAACATYATGAACAAAAATACATTTCARAATTTTGTACATATATTTTCTTGGTTTGAACGTCTTTACGTAGTTCAGAAGGAAAGACAAAGAAATATAAAAACAAGTGTTTTAGTTCAAATTAAACTTCTCATAGAACCCAATTAGTCTGACATAGCGGAAAAAAGTGTTCAATTTTGCATTTGAATATGCAATTCAATGCAAAGTACTAAGTAGAAACTTGAAAAATGACACCTCTTTCCGACCGGTTTTTAATCCAAATGACGGCAGTGTTTTTCGACATTCCCAAAGTAAACCTATCTGTCATTTTTGTAAACAACCTTGAAAGGGTCCATTAGTGAAATAGTTAGTACCCTTCGATGGCATTATAGTGTATTATTTTCTCCCTGGGTATTGTTACTAGAATAAGGTATGGGGATCACTCTGGCCTGGGACAAGCCTCGCCAGAGCGGACGACCAAAGTCGTCAGGGTTAGAGCCGTCTTGAGGGTTGGGGGGGTGGGTACGCTACACGTCTCTGACAACGAGTGGAGTAAGTGTCGGGGAATGAATAACATCCCTTTATATATCCTATTATCAATCCCCTGGGACAAAATTATCATATTCAAATGACTATGAATAGTTGGTAGAGGGAGAAAGCCTCTATCTAGCATGATGGTATTTGGCACATAAAACGTCTTCAAAAACAAATTTTCACGTGTTRGAAAGTCGCATTTAGTCGCATGTCTGAAATTGCATGTATTTACTCCCAAACAGCATAAAAACCGATAAGAAATTCACATCTATCAAACACTGTGTCCCACCTGTTTTATTTTGCAAAATAAGGAAGTTGACATAGATGCATTTAAAAATTGAAAGTGCAATTTAGGGAGGAGTTCACACAGAAAACSAACAAGAAAATTCGCCACTGATGGAAAACCATTCAACAATGAATTAATGATCAAAGCTCTGCCAAAAGTTCTTGAATAAACGAGAAAAAGCAGCAGAACAGRACAATACCCTCTAGCAAACTTATAAACTCAAGACATATATGAGGACAACACCAGTGCATTAACAAGCAGCCATTTTACAAGTAAACTCTTCATTACCGTTTCTCAAACAGGCTTGTGACTATATCAGTTTAAACCTCATGTTCAAAGATTTCTCAAAATAAGAATTACTTCAAAATGCACCAATACATTTCCAAAAAAGATTTATTATAAATGTACAGATATAAATACTTGGTCTAGCTTTGTAATATGTTACATTGCACAGATTAAAACAAATCAATATACGTAAAACATGTTGCTGCTTTGATCGTATCAGGTTCATAGTTAACGTTTTCTCCAAAATAGGTGAATGTCACATTGTACAGACTAGTTTGAGCTTTAGTACAGAATTTTTAGAGCATCTCAAAATATGTAACTTTAAATTTAAAATAAGCACAAAAGATTAAAAGAATAATGCAAACAATAAAAAAACCAAGTTTTATGAATTTACAGTTTTCCAAAATTGGATGGAAATGAACTGTACTGGGAAAGAATTTATGTAAAGAGATGAGAGAAGAAATTGATATTTTGACTTCTGGAGCAAAGAGAATGCACTGGAAAATTTTATCAATTCACAAAAAAACTCAAACAACATCATTAATCCTATCTATTAAATGCACAATTTGTAAAATAGTTTTAACTATTTTACAAATTGTACATTTAATAGATAGGATTAATAAGTTTTGTGATCTTCTTTTCACTGTGTTAGCCTGAAAGCCTTGGAATTGTGTGTAAAATAAGCAGAAATTTAGATAAAACTTGTGAGATTTCAAAACATTTTTATTGTATTCTTCGTATTCTATACTGACAGATCTTGTGCATTTGCACGGACTGTTACTGAATAAAATAATAATGTATATTACATGGTTTTGAGTCTAACACAGTGTACACTCATGTAAAAGAGATCGCTAAAATGTTTTTATTAAACTTGGTCTTCTAAATATTCATTATTAACATAGGATGTAGACATAAGTGGAAGATCACAAAAGTTATACTAAATTTCCTAAATGATCATCGTTTTGTGTAGGATACAGGTGGATTAGAGATTGCAGCTGTCCCTTGTTTTCCAAAACCACCACGACCAGGATCATATCCTTCACGATATTCATCACGTACCTAAAGATTTGTGCATAAATAAGTAACATTAATTGGGGTTTTTAAGTCCTTTATAAATGAACCAGAGATTCTTCTGAATACATTGCTTGACTTTAGTCTTTCACATGACATTCAAAAGACAAAAGACCGGCGGCCATGTTGGTTGAATGAACAATAGATACTAATGAGAAGTCCTTTGTTGATGTTCAACCAAGATGGCAGCYGTGGCATATATTGCAAATAAATGATTGTAGTGGATTATCCAGGGAGTGCAYAGGCAGCCCYGTTAGTCCCCAATCAAACATATCGCCATTCAGACTTTAACCCTTTCTTAAAAGAAACTGCCTCTGTTGAGGATCATCACATCACCAAACATGAGAGATATTCTAGACATTTCATCAGGATCTTTCATTAGGATCTTCATTTTTATTCGAGAAATGTTTATTTATGACTTTCCATACGCAAGTTCAGTGACCAGGAACAAAGCATWGWATCGAGGCRTCAAGGAACACTKATCACAGATCTTTTGTTTTATGTTCACTGTACCTTGACGCCTCAGTACATTGCTTTGTTCATGKTCACCGAGTATGGAATATCATGAATCACAATTTTACTCTGGTTTACAAAACCAAMTCTCCCGCTCCCCCACCTCTCAAAATCCTGGATCCAACACTGCATCTACTACATGTATTCAGAATGTGTTTGTACAACATCTAAATTTATATAGCAAAACAAATGAGATTTTCACCTGTCCTCCWGATTTTCCTCTGCCATACTGYCTTCCTTCTGTAAAACCTTGGTCAAAGTCTGTTCTAATGATGCGATTATCCAGTCGAGTTCCATTAATATACCTAATAGCATTGTGCGCATCATCACGAGTATAATATCTTGCTATAGTTAAGAAATATACCAAATAAATGCTTATCAAATTGATCAAATCCCTAAAAAATTATACAGCAGATAACTCTCATTCTCCACTTAAGAAAATGTATGTRCATGTGCTATTCTATTTAAAGGAATAATGACATGCATACTATGGCTAAATGTTTATCTACCTTTTGGTATTGGGCTCCAAATGGATTTTACAAGCTTACTTGTAAATATGCTAAGTACTGACTAATGTATTGACTGAAGACTTATTAATATTGCTGAAATCTGACACCTTTTCTTTTGTTGTTGCTGTGTTTAGTTTTCACTAAGTAAAGCTGACATTTTTTTCTAGAAATTTTTTATTGCAGCCATGCTTTATGAATAACAAAAAAAAGTTTAATTAAAGATATCAACGCAAAGGATACTCTATAAAGCAAAATCCACACGGCGTCTTTCTGATTTTATCCAATCCCATAATTATCCTTTTTAAATCACCAGCTCGAGAGAAGAGTTCATAAATCTGTTCCTCTGAWGTGTAAAATGATAAATTACCAACGTATAACGTGGTGCTAGTCTCTAGAAGTCTCTCTAATTGCTGTCGAGTTCCCTGAGAGAATGGAAACAATGTCAGTAATGAGCTGCATATTACAAGCTATAACAACGGAAAAACACGGTTGATTTGCCTCAAATCCCATCTGCTATAGAATTGAAGTATTATCTACTCGCGCACTAAGATTTGATGCATTTAGTAAAGACAAAAKAGTARAYTTGACCGTTTTCTTTACCTTAAAATGTTGATCTCTGTATGCACTTAGTTCCGCCATTTTGAAAATTACGCATGCACCTTTCAGACGTACGCTGTGCTAATTGTCTCACGGGCTCACTAGACCCAGTCCCGCTCTTTCTAAGGCGCTAAAAATAAAATTTGTTTTCTTTTAGGTTGTCATGTTTCTAGGAAAAATCCCCTTGGGTATTTTCCCGAAATTTCAAGTTTAAATCGACGATTTGGATAAGTTATGTTTTCACTATCAAAATGAGTCGTTCTTATACTGTAAAAGGGTCTTATGGCCGGCAAGCGAACGTTGGTAGACCAAGACAACAAAACGAAATGCGGAATGAAGCYAGTGGAACGCAAGATCTTGATCCAGAAAGTGCATCTTGTAAACCACCACRGAATGAGAGATACCAGAGGTAGTCYTCACGCTTGTAAACAAATGTAAACAGTGGTATTTGATGTTGCTTTTTCTTCACTTGTGAATTCTTCAAGTACTCGTTTGATGGTATTTTTATGAACTTTTTAGTATTATAATAAGTTACTAACAAGCGATTGTTAACTTAAGAACTTACTTTGTTTCTGGCGTTTTCAAGGAGAGAAGCTTACACGATGTTTGCTCCAAATGAGGACAAAAGAAAGAAACTATTAGAAGGTAAGATTCTTTGACAAAAGAACGAGCACTTTTGAACTAGCTCACACTCTAAATTTGTCAACATATAAGATTAAGACTTAGACAGGAGACTGTAGAAATGGAAATGTTTTCGTTTTCTTATGCTTCAATGAGTTCGCAAGAAACAATTCTATGCTTCTTCTGCTTCTGCTTATTTCATAGTGTGAACTGGCCACGTTAAATTTCATTTAAACAGCTGGGGCCAATTGTATGAAGAGTGGGTATGGGTATCCACCAGTTAGAACTTGATAGATTTTGTGTGGAATATTTCATCTTCTGAGTGAAAATCCAGGGCCACCATGCAACCAGACTCAGCATTCAGCATTTCTCCCAGGCTATGTGACGTTTGCACAACTTGGTCCCATTTTTCTATCATATTTAGTGAAGCAACGCGAGGAAGAAATTTCAAGACAAAGAAAAGAAATGAAAGGAAAGACTCCTGTTAGAATGACACCAAAAAGAGTTGGAGGTCAGGAGATGTCTTGCAATTTAGTTCGCCACCAACAACAGAAGGAAACAAACCTGTCACCAACATTAAAAGCAATTGAAATGAGGGTAACGATTACTGTTAGTATAACTTATTTTAATAATTGTTATTATCAGGAAGTATTTAGCAATACAGCATTTTCATGTGACTTAAGCCTGCATAGCCGGGTATTCCAGCCTACTAGTAGCCTCTCTGAGCCAGGAATGCCTGGCTAAAATTTGACTTCAAATGAGACAAGTCCTCTTTGGAGCTAGAATAAAGCTATAATCGAGTTACAATAAATACACAGTAAACATAGCCTCTGTAAGCAGAAATTCCAAGCAGTTTGATTCTCTTGGAATGTCTGCTTAGGGAGGCTACTATAAATGAAGATAGAGGTTAAAATGCAATAAAGAAAAGAGAAGTAGACTTAAGAAAAATAAAGAGCTCAAAGCAATGTCAA